GGTTGAGCGCATGTCCCTCAGAGCCTGCTTGCAGGACTGGGATCGCACATGCCATTCCAGTCACCCAGCACGGGATGGCTATGCTAGCAGGTGCCCAATCAATGATGCTCTGGAGCAATGCCAGCACTCGGGGACAGGGGACTGGTTATACGGCCCCCCATTACTGAGCATGGTTTGTGAACACATGCGCCCAGTCCTTGGCATCAGCTGCATCACACAATTCAGCTGCAGCCCTCGCAAGGGTAAGGGAAACCCTCCAAATGTGACCCCAGAGTAGAAGTCCCAGCAACGCCTGCCTGAATTTGCCAGCAGCCTGAAATGATCGCTCAGCGGTGGGAACTGCTCTGTTCACATGCACGCTGGGTGTTGACTCTGAAGCCTAATGACCATGGTGTAAATGCTAACTCTGAACTATTTCAGTGCTGCCCATTTTAGCAGGAGCATTGAGCTCATGGGTTTATGCCACTAATCCAACCAAGGGCTGGCCCGAGCCATTTGTGTGCCCCAGGTCCCGGGAGCGTGGTGCCGCCCCTGGGAGTGCGGCGCATATATGGCCCCGCCCCCGGGCTCTGGGTGCCCAGCACATGTGCGGCCCTGCCCCCGTCCAGTCCAGCAGCCCCATGCAGCACCCCCTACAATGCGGCACCCCAGGCGGTAGCCTGGTCAGCCAGTAGCTTGGGCTGGCTCTGATCCAACCTGCCCCCTGCAACTCCCCAGCTGTTCCCTGCCCAGTTCCCTGTAATAGCTGCCATGCAGCCTCCACACAAGGCTGTGCAGCCCAGAGGGGACTGGAGGGACAGTATGAAATGCACCGCAGTGAGTATCCAAACCCCAGCACAAAGGAGAACGGGGGGAAGCCAAGGGGCGGTGCACTGCAGGCGTGAGTCACTCGCACAAGTAATGCCATCCAAACCTGCATCTCATATGTAGCATCTACCTGAGAATCTCAGCCAGCTACCCACCTGCCCCCCAGCACCCGGCCACAGGACAAGGGCCAGCTGACTACAAGCCCTGATCCTTCTGGGAGAGGACTGAAAAGACTGAAGGGCTGCTTCGCAGAAGCACTGGTGTGGGTGGATCTCTGGGTGTGCAATGGATATCTCCAATGGATATCTAGAAGCCACGGCATATTCTCCAGTCCCAGCCCCTCCACACTGAGCCTCAGACGCCAGGCAGGAGGCACTTGTTAGAGTCAGCTCCGGATGGGTCAGGAGCTCCAGCCTCGGCCACAATTTCCACGGGAGGACCCGTAAGCATTGGCTCCCCACTGGAGACTCACCCTGGGAGCTGCGCAGCACGATCTTGTACTCAGTGGCACCCGGGACCCCCCCCCAGGCCAGCCGGAGCCTCTTCCCCACAGTACCAACGACCCGCAGGTCAGAAATGCTGCCCACTTGGGGCTCCACACCTGCAAGATAAGACAACGCTAGGGCCTGGCTCAGAGCTGGGAAGGCAGACACCTGGGGACACTGTACAAGAGGGCGAGGCACCACAGGCCTATGACACCGTCAGAAGAGGCCTGGCAGAGCCGGAGATCCTGCCCTCGTCCAGCTCATGGGGTGCCTGGCACCCGCGCTGCATGGATGGATGCCCCAGTGGAGAGGAAAGGCAGGGTGGGGGCCTATTTGATCACTATTTGCCCAGCACCAGTCGCTTCCTTTGAAAGCCTACAGCCTAGGAGCCTGCAGGGAAGGGGACGAGTCTGTCTGGACCTGGAAGGGGGCCCAGCAGTGACCCCACCCACACTGCAGGTCAGACCCCAGCGAGGTGACCCAGGAGCAGTGCAGGGGCCCTGTGCTGGGAATGTCAATCACTTGGAGAGCCACCCACCCCGAAAGGGCTGGCCCGAAGTCACAGGATGCCCACTTGCGCTGCAGACTGGGCACCTCCAGGACCTGGGATCCCTCCTCCTTTGCTCACTTACCCGCGCGGGCCCTGGGATGTTCACTCACCTGTCTGGGAGATGGTTACGGGCGTGGCCACCTCTCTCCCATCATACAGTGTGTAGAGGGTGATGCGATATTCCGTGGCCGGCTGCAGGCCGGTCAGCTGGTACCTGTCGATGTTGGTGGGCAGGGTCACGGTCTGCGGGGGCTCAGCACCTGAGAACCAGAATGGGAGGGGGAGGCAGTCACATGCTGCATCCCAGCCCTGAATCTCAGTCCCTTCCCTCCCCTTCATCCACCCAGGGACACCTGCGCCGGCAGCTGGATCCTTCTGAACTGCTTGGCCGGCCTATGAGCCAGATCTGGAGCCCAGCGGAGCCTCTGGAGATCAGAGATGGGGATCTATCCCCCTACCCCACCCCACACACAGAGCACCTCAGCCTCCCTCGTGCCCTTCCCCACCCCCGCTCTGGGGAGCAGGCCAGCCTACCTGTTGCTCTTTTCCACTCCAGCCGGTAGCCCCGGGCATCGCGGATGATGTTCCAGAGCACTTGGATGGATGTTGGGCCCAGAATGACTGTCCTCAGGGACTGGACTATGCCCGTTTCTAGAGGAAGGACAGACAGATTGGCAGGCTGAGCTCAGCTGCGGGAAGGCTCTCGACAGAGCCCGGTGCCAACGAGGAGAAACAGGTTTCCACAGCCTCCTCCCACGCTGAGCTCCCCGCCAAAGCAGCCCTATGAGAAGCGAGGCAGTGGGCCTCAGACACAGTGGTCGGGCCACCGCTTCCTGCTGCTCCGCTTGGCTGCAAAGAGCGAAATGGAGCCAATGCGAGCCACAAGGCTCTGCGGCTGCAGAGCCAGTAAATAAACAAACCGCGGCGGCCAGTTAACGTGTTTCTCAAAGTGATTCCGCGGAACACTTCCAGAAACACTGCTCTAGAAAGCTGATGATGATTTGGGATTGCAGGTAGCCATTTCTAACACCTTACTCACTATCAGCTAGGTCTACACTATAGCCTTTTTTCAGAAAAAGCTACGCAAATTGCGCTCCACAATTTGCATAGCTTTTTCCGATTGCTTTTCTGGAAGAAGCTTTACCACCATTTGGCCAGGTCTAGACAGAGCCAAATGGCGGAAAAGCCACCTCTTTCAGAGTAGCCCTTATTCCTTGTAGAATGAGGAATACGGGGCTCCCCGAAAGAGCATGTTTGCTCCTCCTCAAAAAATAAAAAAAGCAGAAGAGCAGGCGCGTTCCCTGGATGCAGCGGAGTTTTTACGGGATACCTCTGGTATCCCCCCCCCCAGTCTAGATGCACCTTCACAGGGCTGTGTGTTAAGCAAAGTGCTGGCCGTGAGCTCAATCTGACAAGCTGGTGCAGACAGTTCCTTTGGGAACAACAGGCCTTTGGAATGGCCAGTGGATCAGGGGCTTGACCAGCAATTGGCAACCTAGGCTAGTGAGTGGGCTGCATGAGTGGCCCTCCTTCATCTCGGTGGGCCACAAGATTGTCATAACCAGGATGGTCTCCTGGGATAGGGTAGTTTTGCTAACTGCGCGTGGGTACCTAGACTTTGTGGGGTGCTGGCTGAACAGCAGCAGTGCTTTGGTGGGATGCAGAGAGAGCACATGGCTCTTATAGTCAATGTTGTGTGCAAGCAACACACACCTCACTTCACATGCGCTTGCTTTATGGATGCATCACTTTAGTAACACCGATAGGAAAAAAAACGGAAACCAGCGAAATCTGGCAACCCTGTGGATGGGCAGCACCAAACAAAATGTCTCTTGGGCCACACGTAGAACCCCAATGGGATGCAGGTGACCCATGGGCTGCAGTTTGCCCATCACTGGGCTGGCCACTGCACCACATGCGCGGAGGACTCAGGGCTTGGCGTGTGCGGATTGCTACCTACAGAGAGCAAGTTCTGCAGGGGCCTGGAAGGCAGTTCTTGGGGGCTGCCAGTGGCTGCTGATCCCCAGCAGGCACAGGCAAGACTTGCTCACACTCACGGCAGGTGGTGGTGCGATGCCTCGGCCCTGGGGAGCATCCCTGTCTATACAGGGCTTGGCACAATGGAGCCCTGACTGGGGCCTCTGGGCACTGCCACAGAACAAATCCTACAGACATCCCAAAGATTCTACCCCTCGCCCCTCAGCCTTTCCCATGGCCATGCACACACCTGTTCTTCTCCTAATGGAGGCTGGGGGCCCCTCTATTTGCCCGTAGAGTGGCATGACCGTCAGCAGGTAATCTGTGCCTGGCTGCAGTCCAGTCAGCAGGTAGGAATTCTTGCTGGCATCCACATCAAATTTCCGAATGTCCTGGCCTGAGATAATCCAGAGCAAAAGGGCATAAGGCACAATTCCAGGCGGTGTGCTCAAACGCGAGCCCCACGCCACACCTGGGTCTCCACACCTGACCCGACTGACTGCCCCTCCAGCCTGCTGTCCCATCTCCCAGCTGCATGGGGTCAGACTGGTGCAGCAAATGCAGGATCCCTGCCTCCATGACACAGCAGGCCCAAGTCTATTCTGACATCCAGCCTCAGCCCATACACCTGGCCACATCCTTACCCATCTCATCAGGTTTGGATTCCGGGCTGCCAAAGGCCAGCAATATCCTGACAGCACTAATTTCGAAATAGGAGGGTAGTGTAGACATACCCTCAGAAGCCATTTCCAGGAGCACATGGGCACCTTCCCATCTGGGCCTGGCTCTCTGTGACACAGCCTGGTGCATAGCCCCACCCCACCCACTCCCCAAGGCTGGTACGCCTTGCGACTGGCACAAGGGCCCGCATGAGAGCCTGTATGGAACCAAATTGCCTTCAGGGCGACAAGGAGCCTCTTGACAGAACTTCAGCACACCAGCCCCCTTTGCTCATCCTCTGCCGACTGTCTTCCTTTCGCCCACTGGGATTGGGCAGGATGCTCCAGAAAGGAGGGGACCAAGTGGCGGCTCTGCCACCTGCCCTCCTCCTCTTCTTCCCTGGCACATGCTTTCCTGCCACTGGGTTCCCTCCTCTCCTGAGCATCCGGCTCAGTCCCTTGGCCCCCTTCTCCCCCCTCCAGCCACTCCACACTTCACCAGCAGGAGCTCCACAGAACACAGTTTGGGACTCCATCCTCTGTCCCATAATGCACCTGGCAACACAAGAGTCCTGTCCCATGGGAGAGGTGCTCCTGCTCTGCTGAAAGACAAGCCAGCTCCTTCCCCCTCCCCCTGAAATCCTAAGAGCCTGCACCTCAGCTCAGCCCACTGGGTCCCCCACCATCCAGCCAGGAGGTCTGGAGAACTGTGTCCGTAGTTCAATCTACAGCATCCTGTCACTGGTTTAGGGAAGGGGAGAGAGCTCTAGTGAGTCAGACAGACCTACCTGAGGGGAGCCCCCACGAGACCCGGTATCCAGTAGCTCCACTCACACCCCGCCAGGTCACCACCATGCTCTGCTGGGAAATGTTCTCAACTGTCAGCTGCTGCACCCTTTCCAAACGCACTGGAGGGAGAGGGAATCAAACAAAACACAAGCACGGCACAAATGTGAAACCAGAGAGATCAGCCCATAAGGCAATCAAAGGATACTGTGGAGCCCAGCCCGGTTCAAGAGACCAGCTCTCACAAGAGATGCAAGAACAATAACCTTAACTCTGCCCCTAAACAAGCACAGTTCCTTCGCCAGTAATCTCAAAATATAAATACACCACAAAACTTCAGAAAATACACCCAGAAATTATATACGTGCAATTTCATGGACATGCACCAATCAGCTTCACATGCAAGTCCACACACACATTTTAAAAACTGATTGTTTTTAAACCAGGCATACAAACATAGTTTCAAAATATACCAGAGATACTTTAAAAAAAATTCTATGCTCGGGTGATTTTATAATATTTCCATATCAAAAATCACTACTTTCTTTAAAAATCCTTGAATCAAAGTTAAAGTTGTTTTAATGCATTTGAGATATGCACTTTTTGTACCTGACATGAGTTATACCTGGTTGAAAAAATATGAGCTGACAATTTCATAACACTTGGAAGTGGTGTTCATTTCACAGGGTTCGAACTGGCCCATTTTCCAGTTTGCTTGACACTTTTCACACAACTGGATTGACATTTTTATCAAAAGCATTTTAGAAATGTTTTTGCTTATTGAAAACGACATTTTCTTCCCAGAAACCAAGATTTCGGTAAAGAGAACATGTTGCTGATGATTTTCACAACTGTGTTGATAGAGTTTTTATAAAAATATGGAGAATAATTGCATAAAAAACAGAACATTTCAATAACTTGACAATTACTTTGCAACTTAAAGTTTTTTAGAAAGAAAGACAAAAAGAAACAGTCATTTTTGGCAAAAAAAACCAAACACCCCTGAAAACAAAACCCCAGTGAGATGCCTTCTGTGCATCCCCAGGCTCTGGCTGTCTGAGCAGATGGTACTTACGGGTTCGGCCAGTTATCCGGGTCGGTGCTACTGTCTGCTGCTGGGAGACAGGCTGAAGAGTAACCACGTAGTCAGTGTTGGGGCGCAGGTTGCTGAGCATGATGGACACAGAGTTGGCCCCCAGGCTCATCTCCTCTGCCTGAGCCTCACCTGGGAGGGGCACAGACAGCAACGCATGAGGAGGCCCATTCATTGGAAGGCATGAGGCTCTGGAGCTAAAGGAACTAACCCTGGCCTTGGGCAAGCTGCTGAACACAAGCTACATGAGGCTTCAACCAGGCCTCTCCCTCACACAGTAGGTCAGGACTGGACCATTTGGGCACCCCAGGTACATACAGCACAGAACACACTTGCCCTTCCAGTTGTGTGCAGGACCTAAGCAAGCCATGTCTCCCCAGTACCATGGGGGAGGTGGGTGGCATGTGGCCCCTGTCTACCCAGCCCCCGAAGCACAGGGAGGGAGGAGGGAGCACAGCTCCAGCCCCGCCAGAGAAGGGGGGGCAGGCACTCAGGGGCAGCAATACTCTGCCCCCAGAATGCCTACAGTAGGCGTTCTGGAGGCAGAGTGTGAGCGGGGCCAGGCTGGCCGTTTGGGAAGGCAGGGCCTTCTCCCGCCTAGCATACCCCTCACCCAAGTCAGCCCAGCCTGGTGCCCCATTCCCAGCAATGCAGCACAGCCAGTGCAAGAAGCTAAAGAGAGATTGGGGGCAGAGCTGGGGAAAGGGAAAGTCCTGGCACCCCCTAGCAGTTCCATGAAAGGAGGGGAAAATGGCAGAGAAATGCCCACACGCTGGCCCCCTCAGCCTGGCACAGGGTCTGGGCAGGGCACGGGTGGGTCTGATGAGCTCAGCAGTGATTTTGTGCCCTCAGGGCCAGCATTCTCTGCTGGGGAGCTGCACTGCCATGGCAGCTGGGTGTGGCCACATGTAGGGCGAGGCCCCCTGGGAGTGCTGCCAGGGCCACATGCCCTGGGATGGCTGCAGGCTGGGGAGGAGCAGTTCCAGGTGCAGCTTCCTACAGGCAAGAGCACTAGGGAGCAGGGAGGTGGAGGGAGAAGGGGGCTTGAAACCGTCTACAACCCAAATCCCAGAAAGCACATAAAGCCCCTGTACACACACCCCCTGTACACACTCTTCCAAGCACACTTACACCCCCTCCCACAGTGCACCACACCACACTACCTGCACATGTGCACCCCAGCACACGTACAGCCCTCCTCCCAGACACACAAGCCAGCCCTGTACACCCACACCACTGACCCCTTACAGCTCTCCCTGTCATGCACGCAGGACACTCCAAAATACCTTGGTCCCACATCCCCCAACACCAGGGCTGGTGGGAGTGCCCCCAACACAGACCGGCGCAGTGGGAGGCGAGCTGGGGCAGGCATCTGCTCTTGCCTACAGGGGTCCTTGGCTTCTACATTCTGGCATGTAAACACCACACAGTGTATCACAGCCTGGCAGCAACCCCCTTGGGCCCAGTCAGGCCTGGGGTGCCCTGCACTGAGCCCAGGACAGCCTCCCAAGGGAGCAAGGGGTCATTCAGCTGGCTCTGTCCCTGCCTGCCTTAGACGGGAGCCCAGACCCGTTGCTTGGTGGGGTTTGTGGCTAGTGAAGCTGCGTGGCAGACAAGGCGGGGGGTGGGGGAGAAGGTGGTGCAGCCAGAGAGCCATGCTAACTGCTTCTCCTCCAACGCGGCCGAGTCCTGAAGCAGTGGAGACAGGCCTGTCCAGGCTTGGATTGCCCTGCCCTTCTGGAGTGAATCCAGGCTCCACACCCTACACGTGAGGGACCGTGGTCTGCAGCCAGGCTGGCTGGCAGTTCTCCTGCAGCAGAGAACACAGCCTGGGGGGACACTCCCACATTGCAGCACCTCCCCAGCCAACCAGTCACCTGCTCTCACCTTGAGCCATGTAGGTGATCCGGTAGCCCTGCAGGCTCTCCAAGGCAGCTGCCCAGGCCAGCCTGAGGAAAGACGGCCCCGCTTCCACCACTCGGAAATTCAACACTCCGGACAGGGCCTCTGAAAGAGAGCAGGGGCGGGGGCATCACACTCACACCCTCCTGCTCCAGGAAGCACCCAGCCCTTTGCACCTGGGGCCAGGAGGAACACAAGTGTCTGCCCTGCCCAGGAGCTCCCCAAGAGGCACCCGGGGTGATGGGGGCTGGGGTGGTCATTAGCCTGTCCAGGGTAGGGTTGCCAACTGTCCAGTCGCATATACCCAAACACCCTAGCCCTGCCCTGTCCCTGAGGGCCCCGCCCTGCTCACGGCACCCCCCTCCCTCTGTCGCTTATTTTCCCCCACCCTCACTCACTGTCACCAGGCTGGGCCAGGGGGTTGGCAGTGTGGGATGGGGCTCCTGGCTGAGCCTGGGGGAGAGTGTCGGGATGCAGGAGGGGGCTTAGGGCCAGGGCAGGGGGTTGGGATACAGGAAGGGGTGAGGACTGTGGCTGGCTGGGCAGGGTTTACTTTGGGAGGCTCCCGGTTGGTGGTGCAGCAGGACTAAAGCAGGCTCCCAGCTTGCCCTAGCCCTGCGCCGCTCTGGGAAGCGGCCAGCACATCCCTGCAGCCCCTGGACGGAGCACGTGTCTCCACACGCTGCTCCTCCCTGCAGGCACTGACCCTGCAGCTCCCAGTGGCTACAGTTCCCCGTTCCCGGCCAGTGGAAGCTGCAGAGTTAGCGCTTTGAGCAGGGACAGCATGTGGAACCCATCGCCCCCCTGCCTAGGAGCCACAGAGATGTGCCAGCCACTTCCAGGAGCGACACAGGGCCAGGGCAGGCAGGGAGTCTGCCTTCCCATGCTGCGTCACCAGCGGCCAGAAAGCTCTTGGACTGGCTGCAATAGCTGCTGGGAGACCCAACTCCATTTCGGGAGAGTCTCTGGAAAGATTGGCAGCGCAGCCCTAAGACTGCCACCACATAGACCATCCATCTCGCCACGGCCAACCCCCACACCACCCCAGAGCTAGCGTTACTGCGCACACCCCGTGCCTGGCCCGCCCGAGCGATCCCATCCCCGCAGTCATCCAGGCAGAGAATCCAAGATGGCGGCAGTGATGGAGTGAGCACATGGCCAGGCAACAGGGAGCTGTCCATTCCCACGGGGAGCCTGCCAGGGTCCTGGGCACAGGGAGTCACGCTCACCCCAAACAGAGCCGCAAGCGGGTTCGGCAGCCTGGAGGAGCTCACAGCCAGCCTGTCCTCTAGTCTCCGCCCTGAGAAACCAGGCTCCACCTTGTAACAGGCCCATGCCGGGACAATGGCCCACGGACAAGGCAGCCACCCTCCCTCAG